CTCAACACTTAGCCAAAATATTATCACCACTCAGAAGACACACAAGAGCACATACTAAGGATTCATACCATTTTGTCAGTGAGATAAAAGACCTACGTCTTGCTGACAATTAAACCATGGTCAGTTTTGATGTTCAGTCTATTTACATGCCATCTGTGAAGATGCATCTCAAAAAAGAAACAAAAACACAGAAAACACAAACAGGCAGGGGAAAAGTAGATGGTGTTGCGATGGGCTCACCTGTATCTCCCATTGTCGCCGATATATTCATGGAAGACTTTGTGGAGAAAGCCCTCCTTACTGCACCTGTTACCCCAAGGTTCTACAAGCGGTACGTAGACGATACTTTCACAATTTTACCGTCAGACAAAGTAACCGCATTTTTAGAAAATCTTAATTCCATAAACCCTAAAATTCAATTTACTATGGAGTTAGAGGCAAATAATTCCTTAGCTTTCCTAGATGTGTTAGTCATCCGAAATCCTAACAACGCCTTAGGTCATACTGTGTATAGAAAAAAGACCCATACAAACCGATACTTAAACGGTGAATCTCACCATCATCCTTCACAGTTAGCTACCGTGGGCAAATCTTTATTTCAGAAAGCACGAGGGATCTGTGACATCAAACACTTGGCCGCCGAGCTTCAGCACGTCAAGCAGATTCTGCACGACAACAAGCTTCGGGTCCCGCGCCTCCGTCACAGTGACCGAGTGAAGCCGGCCACAGTCGAGCGTGTGCCTGCTATACTACCATATGTCAGAGGTGTCACAGACAAGATTGGCTACATCTTGAAGCGAGCTTCTATTAGAACATTCTACAAGCCGCCGAAGAAGATTAGTCGGTTCTTACCATCCGTCAAGTGTCATATTACTCCACAAGATGCAGGAGTGTACAAGCTTGATTGTGATTGTGGTCTCTCATATATAGGGCAAACAAAGAGATCAATTAGAACCCGCGTAAGAGAACACATAGCTGACGTGAAGCATCAACGTTCCGGGAAGTCTGCAGTTTGCGATCATATTCTAGATGGCCCCAACCATTACATCAGATTTGATAGACCACAAATCCTCGCGAAAGAACATCGATTCCTACCAAGGATGATACGTGAGGCTATTGAAATTAAAAAACATCCTAATTTCAATGGAGAAGGAGGCTGGGTACTACCACCTGCTTGGGATCCTATAATTATAAAATTAAAACTAAACCCAAGCATACCACTGCAAGACTTAAAAATAAAGTTAGTTCATTCTGCGTAGATCGGACCAAAGACAATAATTAAAAAGCTGAAGGTACTCCGGGTTAACTTTGACATCGGGACGTCAGTCACCTCAGTCCCCCGTGACCGTGGGTGCTGGAAAGCACCCGAAACGTCGGGTATTAAAATTAATATAAATAAAACGCGATAAAATCCGTAAAAGTAGTTTTAATCAATGTTTAATAATAACTCATTTTGTATGCTTCAGTTCCCTTAACGTAAGGTAACTCGGTCATTGGTTTCCCATCTGCTTAGGTGTTAAAAAACGTAATATCCATGCTACAATACGAGTTATTTTTGTAAATGAACTAAATTTATTTAATAATAAGTATATAATATTGTTATGACTGTCTTTCTGTATAACGTTTGCTTGTTTTAATCGAATTTCTTCGTTTGTTTGATATAGGTGTTTTTCGTCAAGTCGGTATGAAAATGTTTGTAGCCATGATGGTCCGTGCCACCATAATTGGTTGTTTTTAAGTTCTGATACGTATAACCCCCTACTTGCAGCATCCGCGGAATTTTTTTTATACTTAACGTAACTCCAACGACTTGCAGCTATAATAGTAGTGATATATTTAACTGTGTTTGCCACGAAAGCTTTCCAGCGACTTGGATCTCCATTTAGCCAACCTAAAACGACCATGGAGTCCGTCCATGCATATATCTCGATTTTATATTGACAAGGCATTGTTTTATCTTATCTATCAATTTACATAATAAATGAGCAGCATTTAATTCTAACCTAGGTAGTGATATTCCTTTTTATATGGTACGAGTAGTGTTTTTGCCGCTAAAAGTATTGTTTTTGGTTGGTTTTCTATTCTTGCGTAGACGACGCAGGCAAAGGCATGTTCTGATGCGTCACTAAAACCATGTAACTCGACAAATCATTTTCGTTACACCCTATCCATCGAGGGATTTCAAATTGTTGTATATGATATCATATCGCTCTGAATTTTCCGCCATTTATGTTGTATGTTATCCGTTATATTTTCATCCCAAGAAGTATTTAACTTACATACATCTTGAAAAAATATTTTTAATTTCGTTGAAATGGGTGCTAGCCAGCCTAATGGATGTGTATAATTATGAAATTTCTGAAAGCAAAGTTAAAAAAAACGAAAACAAAAAAAAAAAAAAAACCCAAAAAAAACCCCCCCCCCAGAGGCCCGAAAATAAAAAAAAAAAAAAAACAAACATCTTTTTTAATCAACAAAAAAAAAAAAAAAACCCAACAACACCAAACAACCTCCATTTCCACAAAAAAAAAAAAAAAAAAAAAAAAAAAAAAAAAAAAAATTTTTGTGGGCTTAATTTCTTGAGTAGACATTTTACAACAGAAAGTAAATATGTCTTTGTTGTTTAACCAACAGAGTCCAAGAGTCCGTGTTGCGTGTTCAGTTTTAAAATTAAAAATTAAATTTTCTTCTTTAATCTGACCTTTACCTAAGCTACAGAGCAGTTCGTTGTTGTTCGACGCCCATTTTCTCAAAGTGAACCCCCCCCCCCAATTTTAATAATTTGTTTAAGTCGTTAACCAACCTTCTGCCTTGCTGAATGTTGTGGGCTCCATGGACGAGATTATACATATAAAAAGCCCTTAAAAAAAATTAAAGCCATTGATGCCTCCGGGTAGGCGGCCTGTTCGTCTTCTGCTAGCTGTTTTAACGTCATCATTGCTAAAAATGGTGCCACCTTTGTGCCATATGTAACGGTGGTAAGTTGATAAGATTGCAAAGGTTGTTCTGGTAATCCTCTCCAAATAATTTTTTGATAACGTTGGTCTTGTTCATTCATAATGATCTGCCGATACATTTTCTCAATGTCTGCGGTGAAAGCATATTTATATTGACGCCATTTTAATAATAAACATTGTAAATCTCAGTCAATCAATGTCAATCAATCATGTCAATCAGGAAATCCTGATACAACAAGATTTACAACAACAACTTTTAACATCTTTATTAAACTGTTTTTATATAAAATTTTAATTATTATTCAACATACGTCCAACACCCGAACACCACACTCCGGCCAAGGCAATGATCTGACCGTGCTAGAGGGGTGTCCACGGAAACCTGATATTCTTCCGAATGAGAAATAAGAATAGAAGGGGAGTTGATCGAGCAAGTAGATGAGTTTGTATATTTGGGCTGCGTATTTAGCAGGGAAGGGAGATATGGTAAAGATATAGAACGACGAGTGAATGCGGGAAATAGAGTAAATGGGGCCTTGCACTCTATTGTGAAGAGTCAAAATGTGTCGAAAAAGGCACGTATAAATTCACGCAGCAATTCACAATGCTGTGTTGGTCCCAACTTTAACGTATGGTAGTGAAAGTTGGGTGTGGCAGAAGAAGCACGAGAGTAGAATAAACGCAGTAGAAATGCGGTCGTTAAGGAGTATGTTAGGGCTGAACTATGACAGGGTAAGAAATTGTGTAATAAGAGAAGAGTGTGGTTTGCAAGATGATGTTGTGACCAGGATTAAGAAAGGAATGCTTCGGTGGCTTGGTCATGTGGAAAGAATGAATGAGGAAAGAGTGACAAAGAAAATTTATGGTGCAGAAGTGAATGGCAAAGTCGGAAAGGGAAATTCTAGGCAAAAATTTATCGACCAAATTGGCGATTTATTGAAAATGGGCCAAATTAGGAGTACCCTTAACCGACGAACACGTATGCGTAGGTGTATGGATGTGAAGGAGGCAAGAGAGGTGTGTCAGGATCGTGCCAAATGGAAGTCTGTAGTCTCTGCCTACCCCTCTGGGTGACAGGCGTGAGTGTTTATGTAATGAGAAATCAGCAGAAGGACCAACAGGAAAGGTGTATGATCTTCCACATCTGGAATCCACGTAGGCGAAGTAACCTGTTGTGTCAGACCATATGCCAAAGCAAAGTCGTAAAAAGATCTCCCCTCACAATTGCTTTAAACGTGAACCAAGCCTTTCGGCGTTGTGGGCGTTAAAATCGCCAAGGATCACGATCTCTGCGGATGGGATCTGCTATAGCACGGAATCTGTAGCCATTTAAACGTGGTCGATAATCCGGTATGTTTCGGCTTTACCGCTATAGGACATGTACCCGTAGACGCGGAGATGGTCGTGGCTCGATAACGCACAACAATGGGATGGACAGGTCCGTACCTTCAAGACTGCCGAGGCGTCGGAGACAGATGTCCTCTCTGACATATACGCAAACTCCAGGCCGGGGCAAAAAGGAGTGTTCTAATTTGTACCCCGGGTAGGAGAGATATGAAATATTAGCTGGAGAGGACAGCTCAGTCTCGGTTAAAAAGAGCAAGGTTGGCTTCACCATGTCCAGATGGTATTGGATAGCGTTGTGGTGGGAGCAAAGTCCCCCGATGTTGCAAATTCACGGATAGCGTGGCAGGGGTTGCCTTGGTGTTATTGCACTACTTGCCCTAAGCAGTTTTAGTCGCGAGACTCCTACTCCCAGCACACGTGGGGCAGTGTGAGCACTCACGCTCAGGAAGAGTAGGATAACTTGGTCGTGGATTCTCAGCGAGGGATTCTCCGTCACCAGGGGTGCTGGTACCTCCTTGGGGTAGTTTTTTAATTGATTCTGCTACTCGTACCAATTCTTATTTGCTTTAATTCGTTACATAAATTTTTTGTAGTAATATTTTGTATATGGTGCTGAATGTAAATGTACTATACTCTTTTTATAATACTTTTATAAATACATAATTAAAATAACATAAAAATAGGATATAAAGGCACCTGGTCGGCCGCGTTGAGCCACACGGTGGTGACGGCGCGCGCGGGCGCCAGGAGGCGCGGTATCAGTGTTAGAAAGGTGGCGGCGCTCGCCCAGCAGCCGCCACACGAACTGCACTCCGCACGTACCTCTGTCACTCCTCGACCGTTCTCTGTAAGCAAGCATTCAAAACACGAACTGAAATAATAACAGAAGTAGTAGGACTTTATGTCTAAAACAGGGTTATTTTTCAAAGGGTAGCCAAATTTTGCATTTAAGTGATTATTATTTATGTAATTCAAAATATATAAATAATAATAAACCATTATTGCAGTTTTTGAAAATAAGGGTAAATAAGGCGCCTTTGTTTGAAATCATTTCAAATTGAATGTACTCCTCTCTGTGCGACCAAGTTTTTGTCGACCGAGCGATTCTTTCAAATGTATGCTTGCGTAGTAAAACATACGGTAGTGTGTCAGCCAAAAACCCATTTCAAGCTACTTTTGGACCTCTATAACCCAAAAATAGACCTATGTACTTGTAATTTTCTATGTCTAGTTAGGGATCTCCTCACTGCCTGAATTATATTATTTTCAAATCCCAAACTTCAGAAATAAGCCAATGATAATATTTGAGTTATAAAGGTTTGAAAAGTGCTATTTTTATCTTAATAAATATATATAACTTGTAACCCATCTAAAACCTAGTCCTCATCTACAATTTAGAAATTTAAAATTGATATCAAGTTAGATGAGCGGTAAAAAACAAGGTTCAAAGGAAAAAAAACTAAAACTACAAGTCATCGGTAGTTGGTGTTGAACAAGTTTTTGGTGCGGTTAGCTTCAAGTACAATAGTTGAAATCAACCGCAGCGATAACTTTTTCAATATTTTTGGTGGGATCATACTTAGTGTAAAATATTTGCTCAATCTCGTTTTTACTAGATAAATGACTACCGCTTTGGTCTAGTAATCTTAAACGCGACTGCTGATCGTGAGGTTCCGGGTTCGACTGCTGATCGTGAGGTTCCGGGTTCGAATCCCGGATCGGGTCAAAGTCAATTGTTTTTTCTGTGTGGAATTTTCAGTAACAGAAGGATATAGAAAGTTGACGATGTTTTACCCCGGAGTCAGGAAATGAACGGTGTTTCACCATCGTGTCTCGGAAACCATGCAAAGCCGTTCATTCTACGTCTCTACTACTCCCACTATGAGAGTGAATAGAGAATGCACCTGTGCTTGAGGATACATTCGCACACTATAATCCAGTCCTCCGCAGATGGCTAGTCTCCGTTGAGACCGCTGCCAGGCAGAAATTCGGTCTGGAGGACATTATAATAATAGTCCGCTGTTGCAATAATAATGAGGGAAACAAATACGGTCGAAGCGCAGGATGATCAGCTCCCAGCGGTCCGCGAGCGCGAGTGGGCCGGCGAGCAGAAGGCGCGCGTCGTCGGGTGCCCAGCGCGCCGCGCTCGCTGCCGCCCAGCCGCGCGCTTGCCCGCCCGCTCGCCAGCCGGGCGCCCAGCGCACATCGCCGCCCACCCCGGCGCGCTCCCATATCTGCCACACAATATCACAGAGCATTAAACATGCATTATTATTCACTGTAAAAAACAATCTCGCTCTCGTCTGAACAGATGGCCGCGACAATATGCTTTATTTAATATAGATTACAACATACGTACATACGGTACGGATAAAATCTCTGACCTGATAAGATCCAGCAAGAAACCTAGTGGGATTTACTTTAAAACATTAATTTAAATATAATATTTTATACATTTGAGAATGAAATCACACACCTGATAGTTTAATATGGGGATAAGTAACATAAGCCAATTCAGCTGCTTCAACACATTTAAGGCTATTTTTAGCATTTGCTACAAATCAAGCTTCTAGCTAGTTCGTTAGCTTGTAAAATATATAGGGGTCTCACTAAGCTTCGTGTCAACAGTAACACCGAAAAAACAATGGATTCAACAAGGCTCAGCTCCTCCTCGTTTGAAGCACACTAGTATTCACTTGCTTAACGTTTCGTGTTGTAAACTGTGTTAACGTTAAACCAATGTATTACTTTTGATATTGCATTATTCACTTCGTTGGGTTTTTAACATTTCCAAATGAAACCATATCATAGTTATTCGCTACCAAATAAATTAAGCCATTTATTTGGTACAAACTAAAACAGGTAGGGGCCGAGAATTGAGCACTACAAAACACCAATAGCGACTACCGAACTGGAAAAACTTCTTCTATCAGGAACAACTACTGGTGTTCCATTATTTAAATATGATGTAATAAGATTAAGAACTATGTTTTTACACCATAATGATATAGCTTCCACATTTAATGTTTAATGATGAACACAGTCACAGAATACAGTTGGATAAGATCAGAAAATATAGTAAAATATTGCTATCTATGGTTATTTATTTATAATCTACGTTCATAACTAACGCCATTTTCGTGTGGATGTTATTTTGTTGATTTTTGGATTTTTCTAGTGTTTTAGTATAGTGTTTTATTATAAAATTGGTATGAAAGGTTTTGGTGAATAAAAGTTTTCTTTTTACGTAAATAATTTCGAGTAATATATATAAATAATAGTGATTTTCTCGCTGCTGACATCCGCTTGGTATGTACCCCTTTTTTGTTATCAAAATACAATAAAGTCTTTCTGTAATGAAGTAAAACCTGACTTTTGTTTAGACCACAGGATAGAGAATTTTGTATAAACTTTATAATGCCATACTTTTTCCATAGAAAAGTGGTCTCTAAATATAAGTTTAACGGTTTAAAGTACTGGGGGTGGGTGCGGTCGCATGCGACCGCTCCGGATTTGACGGACGCATGCAAGTGCATGGCATTTTATGGAGATTGAAGGGTTAAAAGCCGTTGCAACATCTTGATCTGGTTTTGTTAAATTATTGTTGAATTTCTTTTAAATTGTACAGTTTTATTTGGTATCAGTAATTGCTTTTCGTCTCCAATAGAGAAGTCATATAAAACTTACAAATTTTGGGTTAAAGTACTACAATTCCTACCGTAGTAAGGATATGTGGAAGCGATCGCATTGCTTTTTTTTTTCAAAATTATTTTGTTGAGTTTATTTAAAAAACCAATTTTGAATAAAAACATTAAAGCTCGACGTAAACTGTTTCGAGTATGTGAAATGTCGACAACAATACTTTATTCCTAGAGACCCACCGACCGTATACCTACCATACCTCTGTAAGATAAGGTAGAATTACTAAAATCAGAGCAGCCAGCTTTTGAATTTCAGCTATCAACTGACTAAGCTAATGATATTCGACATTTGTGTAAGTTATAAAAGCAAATAATAAAATCGCAACCTTTAATACATTGTAACCTGTTCTTCTTTTTAGGATAGGGTGACAAACTAACACGCAGTCCACCTGATGGTAAGTGGTTGCTGTCGCCCATAGACATTTACATCTATCCTCAATTACAATTCAAAAATGCAGATGCGTTGTCACCCGTAAGGACTAAGATGTAAAAAGGGTCTCCGGTTCTCTACACTCACCGTACGAAGCACAACAGCATTAAGCTACTATTGTACGCTAGTATTCTGTGAGAGCGTGGTCCTTCCCCAGTCAAGCCGACCCATTCGTGCTACAACTCTACTAATAATATAACTGCAACATGGTTCTACCACGTATAAAATCGGTTCTTTCAAAAATGGGAGGTTATGTAGATTACAAGGTAGGTACAGTGAGCGAGGCGTCATCGGCGGTGACGGCGATGCGGTCGGCGGCATGGCTGAGCGCGGCGTGCGTGACGGCCGCGCCGCCCGCCGCCGGCAGCCGCGCGCGCAGTAGCCAGCGCGCCGCCGCCAGCCAGTACTCGCGCCGCCACGACCAGCCCGACCAGGACGACTCTGTAACTGTATTGCTACGTTTAAACATGTATACCACTAGACCGGCAGTTTAGAACATAGACCGTGTCACAGCTGCGGACCGCGTGGACGGGTAGCTGTGTGACAGAGTTTTTTTATCATATTAAGCACAATCAGTGTTAGATTGTCAAATACAACGTTCGTGGTGTACAAAACAAGGAACTAATCTTATTGGGCTTTCGGAGTTGACTTGATGCAGGTGAATTGACAGTAACCGAGTGTGCAATGTAATAAGGTCGCACAACTCGTCGCCAACCGGGTTTTAAATGATTCTTTGGGCATGGAATTCTAACGTTAAAAGGGTTTAACGATCCTTTCTCCGCTGCATACAATACCAGCGCAAAATAGTAGCTTAGTGCTGCCCTTTCGTATGATGAGTGTAGAGAACCGGAGACCCTTTTTACTGGAAACGAGGCATTCCATCTTAGTCCTCACGGGTGACAACGCATCTGCATTTTGATTTGTAATCGAGGATAGATGTCGATGTCTATGGGCCGCAGCAACCACTTACCATCAGGTGGACTGTGTGCTCGTTTGTCACACTATTCTATAAAAATAAAAAATAAATACATATTTGCCCAGCATGAAGTAAGCGCGCTAAGTGTTTCACATCCGTTAAACACAAAGCTAAAAAATTTTTTTCGTTTTTCACGGTTTTATTTATCATAAGTAAATAAAGGTTCTTAATAAAAATGTAGCTGATAAGGAATCTAAGTCAATAACATGTTTTTCCTATTATCAAAGTGTATTATATAGGTACATCTTAAAAAAAAGGACTGTAATGTCGTTTTTTTACCCGCAATTAAATATTTTTTATCTCGATTAATATAAAGTAATTCACAGTCCATTCCATTAAGAATTTAATTACGTATTTTCTGAAGTGACAAAACGAACGAGTTCATCTGACGGTAAATGACCACTGCAGATGCGTTGTCACCTCTGAGGACTAAGGTGTAATATCTCACAGCCTGTCATTATACTGGCTCTCTAACCCTTCACACTGGAACACAACAGTGAAAGCACTGTTTGGTGACAGAAATAAAAAACAGATGGTACTGGTGTACATACAGACGTACTTCCATGCGGACAAGGAGGCATACCACCTAAATATGTGCGCATAATATACTATTACAACATGTATCAATTCTCGAGCGTTAAAATCGTGTATACAATACAATATTTTTGTCCAGCTTGACCTTAATGCTTTCATATTAATATTTAAATATCACAATGTAGGAAGTAAATTGCTTATATACGTTCCACTGCCAGACACAGATTGACATTTACGAGATAATTATTGACAATTTCAGCGTGTCGACGGGCATAGAACTCGAGTTTCTCGCGTTATGTGAAATTTATGGTGAACGCTCACGAAAAGTCGTACCTCCTATAATATATAATGCTACTTGGTGATATGATTGTCTTTCATCCCACATATGTGTTAAAGTCATCCGTGTTTATTTGAACTCTGTTCGATATCAAGCGGCTTTATATACAATTTACAAGCAATACTCAACATTCAACTTTGCTGACAATGAAGTAAACCTATCGAATGCTATGGAAATCAATACGGATCTGCGCAGTAAACGTCATAAGTGCTCGGAATGTTTGGCGATTATTTTACATACTAGTTGAATGGAGCACATAGGAGTTGACGTTACCACAGTGCAGTTGCGCGGCGGCGGAGGCGCGGCGCAACGCCCGCACCTGCGCGGGCGAGGCGCGCGGCAGCACGCAGCGCCGCCACAGCGCCGGCTCGTCAGCGGCGGTGCGCCACACGCGGCACACGCTCGCCGCCCGCATCAGCGACCCGCCGTCCAGCCAAGAGAACACCGCTCGTAGCGCCGCCAATGCCACCCCGTCCTCCCTCTGCCACGCACTCCCTCCCACCTCCCCCACCCAGCTTACATCCTCACTGTCTTCTGCATCCTCACTCTCGATATTATCCCCGTTTGACGTTTCGACGTGCATTCCCTGAGATTAGTCTATATTTAGCGGCGCACGCGCACCGGCGTCACGTGCCGCTCGCGTTGACCGACTGATTTAAATATAGATAATCTGCTAATTCTTTGCAAGTAATATTGTTTTCTTTTTTAAATGTTCGGAGTCTACAATCATCTTTTGTTTTACATATTATTATCTCTTACTCTATTATTACGAGCATTATTTATATAATTGTTTGTAATTGTATTCTCGAAAGTGAATCTAACAATTTCATTTCAATTTTATTTCTGGGAAAATTCGATTTCTCGGTAATTTCACTCACAGAACAACTGATTTGACTTGCTCGCGCAATAAGAATTGTAATTTAGCCAAATCATTTCCGCGAATTCCCAACCTCTATAGTATAGCCCTACAACGCCAGTGAGTGTGAGTTCGAATCCTGCAATAAATTTTTGTAATATACAACTGGTTTCTCAAAATATTTTTTTATAACACCGGGCCAAGTTTTGTTGCCGAGATACTAAACTATTTCTAAGGTTAAATATTTTTGGATAGAATCTTTCCATTTAAATTAATGAAAAGTGTTTAACACACATTCATTCAATAAAATTCAATTACTGACATTACTGTTAAAAAATATTAATTTTTTTTAGAATCAGGGTGACAAACGGGCACAAAATCCATTTGATGATAAGTCGATGCTCTGGCCTATAGACATCTACATTCATCCTCGATTAAGAATGAAAACGCAGATGCGTTATCACCCCTGAGGACTAAGATGGGAATGCCTCATTTCCAGTAAAAAACTCCTCTATAAACTCCGGATCTCAACACTCACCATATGAAACACAGCAGTATTACGCTGCTATTCTTCGTTTGTATTCCGTGAGAGCGTGGTCCTGCCCCGGTGGAGCCAACCCATTCGTGCTACAACCATAACAAAGCTGCAGCGTGGCTCTACCACGTATGAAAATATATTATATCTGAAATTTACATCTGAATATTCACATTACTATACTTGCAAATGATTTATCACTCCAGCCAAAAAGCAGATGAGGAAAAAATTAAAGAAAAACTTAATTCAAATGATAATTAATTGCTTTATTAATAACATAATTGATATAAAATGCTTAAAATTATAAAATAATAAAATTATATCTAAAAATATCGTTTATCATGAAATAAGTTAGCGTTTATAGTTAGTAAACCCGATATGGTAAAATTAAGCAATTTTTAATAATATAAATTATACACCAAGATATAAAAGTTTGTAAAAGATCTAAAAAACTTAACTAACAGCACCCTATGGTGGAAATGTTAGTGATGTGTGTAATAATAAGAACGAACGATACAGAAAAAAAACAATACAATTTTTACGGAATTTTACGGAAATACACACTAAAGTCTAGATTTCGACTAGAAATAAGAATATACTGGTCGCATCTGTCCTTTGAAAAACATAGGGACTCTTGAATTGAACGACGTCTTTGCTCACGTTATCACTGTATGGTATACATATAAAAATAGCAATAACGCACTTAACGGGAACTACATAGTTTTAGTTACATGTTGTATATATTATGTATATCTAAACGAAAAGGAACAGTATGTGAGCATAGTGTGTGCGGTCAGGATAACGCGGCGAGCTCGCGGCGCACAGCGAGCGCGTACTGCGCGGAGACGGCGGGCAGGTCAGCGGGCGCGGGCAGCGTGGCGGAGGACGCGGTGCGCTCCGGCTGCTTCTGGCGAAGGCGCAGCTCGCGCAGCCGTGCTTCTAGGATGCGCTCGCGCTTGCTCTCGCGCTCCAGTATCTGCAACCAAGCACTTCTGTATATTTTTATACAATATGGGTGACGATTGAGCACACCGTTCAACTGACAGTAAGTGGCTGTTGTGGCCATGGGCATCTACATGTATTTTTCAACAAGAATTTCAATGCAGATGCGTTGTAACTTCTTAGGAATGAGATGTAAAACCTCATTCCAACCTCCAACCGTTTGGTCTGCAACCAAACACTACCACGCTGACTCTGCGCCCTTAATACAAATAACGGACGTAAGTTTAACACAGAAGATACAAAAAAAAAAACACTTCTATGTGAGCCTTCTAAACTAGTTAGACTCCTGTACTCTATGTTTACTACCCTAGGAGCTCGGTGCCCTTAATACCATAGTAAAAAAATACATTAAGAAAGAAAGAAAGAAAGAAAGGTTTATTCTCCAAAATGACGCCATCACAGATAACATAAAAAAAATAAAAAAACACATAATTTACAAATAATATTGGCTATACAATACAAATTACAATATACTACATATTACGAACTATACAATACCTATACTCGTATGTGTCAAGGCGTCATCTGGGAACAGGAGCACACACAGCATAATGCCATGAATTTTTTTCCATGGCGCTGATTTTCAGTGTGTCCAACCAGTGACCTACCGAAATCAGTGGTATATGTATACTCATTTTATTATGTTTTAAACAAAATTATGATGACAAAATTATGCACAACAAGGGGGAAAGAGACATTAACTATTTTAAGTGAGAGGGAGAGAGTAGCGTTAAATTTCTAATGCCACTTCGACACAGCACGTCCCGTTTATGTTGATTTCAGATTCAGATGCTCTTAGAAGGTCTATACGAACACTACAAAAGGGGAGATTATTAAAATACTATAAAGGGGATATATACTACACTATGTAATTATTGAAAAATATAAAAGTATACAAGAAGACAAAAGCCGCACTCAAGTGAAGCGTGATTGCGGTGACGATGCACGACGAGAGTATTCCCTCTAGTGCGCGTATTGTAAGTTTTTACAACACGTGACCATATGAGTTTGTCAGCAAGATAAGGAGGTGTTTTATTTTTTAATACCCCAAATAGGAGAGTTGCCATGTACAGTTTTTTGCGATATTCCATTTTTAACATTTTAGCATTGTTAATGTAAGGGGTGACGTGCGCGCGGGGCGGTACTGTAAAACTAAATCTTGCACATGCATTTTGAACACGTTGCACTAGACGTCGCGACCGCGCTAAAAGTCTCGGGCCATATACAATGTCCATATAATTAAATTTCGAAAGGACAAGTGTGTCACACAATTTTACCCGAATATCCGAATTTAAAAACTCCCTTATTTGATAAAGAACCTTAAGTCTATAAAAGCAGTTTCTGCTAGTACTTAGTATGTGGTTCTCAAACTGTAGTTTGTCATCCATTAGTAAGCCCAGATTGCGAATCTCATTTACACGTTCTACGATTTCCCCTCGAATTTGGATGCATGCCCCTCATTCTGATAAATTTTTTATTTGATTTTTAGAACCCATAATTAGTAGTTTAGATTTAGTTCCGTTTAGTACAAGGCAGTTTGAGTCGCACCACGCGGCTATACTTTCGAGGTCTTCGTTGATTTTATTAACGACTTCTTGAGTATCACGCGGATTATATGACATGTAGACTTGCAAATCATCTGCGTATAAATGAAATTTACAGTGCTTAATGTTTTTTACTAAGTCGGCACTGTAAACTGAAAACAATATTGGAGCCAGGTTCGATCCCTGGGGCGCACCGGCTTTGATTTTTTTTGATTGCGAACGTATTAATGTTCCTCGGTCATCCCTCAGTTCTACAGTTTGTAGTCGGTTTTTAAAATAACTATCGAACCATTGTACTGCGCTGCTACTGAATCCATAGTAATGAAGCTTTGATAAGAGAAGGGAAACATTTATACAGTCAAATGCACGAGAAAAATCTAGTAATACTAGTACTGTATCTTTTCCTTCATCTTGAGCAGTTAGTACATCGTCAGTAAGTTGGGCTAGGGCCATCGTGGTGCTATGGTTCTTACGAGATCCCGACTGCATTTCCGGTAGAATTTTTTTTCTATCTAAATACATGTTTAGCTGTTCTGCGACAATTTTTTCAATAATTTTAGAGACACAAGGGAGAATACTGATGGGCCGAAGGTCTTTTTCAGACAGTGGATTTGAGTTCTTCGGTATGGGTTTGACTAACGCATGTTGCCATAATGTCGGATAGGTTTTAGAGTTAGTGGATTTGTTCACCATAGCAGTAATAATTGGTAGTGTTTTCGGAAGGGTCATACGGATCATATCGAGAGAAATCCCATCAATGCCTATGGCTTTAGATTTTAAGCTTTTAATGAATTTTAGGACCTCTAGTTCATTTACCTCCTTTATCTCAAATATGTCATTAATGCAGCAGTGGAACTCAAAGTACGTTAAATATGACAATGATACGTTTCTATTTCCAGGCACGTTTAAAAAATAGTCGTTTATTTTATTTGGATCATTAAACAAGTCTATCGAGATATTGTGTTTTGGTTTTATCTTAACATTGGACTTTATATGTTTCCACATTGAAATGGGATTATTTATATTACGATTAACATAAAAATTATAGTAGGCTTGTTTTTCTCTATATATTGCTTTATTGACGCAAATTTTTAGATCTTTATAGTATTTAATACGTATGTCGTTTTTACTTTTTCTCATTTTAATGAATGCGTCATCTCGTTTTTTCATCATCAATTTTATATTAAAGGTTAGCCACGGGGATTGCTGATGTTTAATCATTTTTTTTCTAAGAGGCGCGTGAATTTCAAATAGTGTAAGTATGGCTGTGTTAAATAGCACTACCTGATTATTTACATCCGCGATACTCTCAATTTCTTTCTAATTTATTGATGTAAGGTCCTCCCTCGTCTATGTCAGAAATTCTCCTACTCATTATTGTTACAGGTGCCGGCTTTTTTTTACTCATATCAATTTGACATGTAATAAAAGCATGACTACTTAATTCACGTATAAGTTCTAAAGTAACTGCGTTACATTTTTGTCGGTACATATTACGTCAATTAAAGTCTCGCTATATTCCGTAAAGTGGGTTGGCTTAGTTACATGCTGTTTTAATTTGAAGCAAGTAAGAAAATTATTTAGCTTTATAGTGGCATTATGCGTCATATTTAACATATTAATATTAAAATCACCGAGAAGAAGTAAGTTTTGGCTCCATGAAAAAGTCCCCATAGTAACGGTAAGCGCGTCTATGAATGTCTCGACATTCAGCCACGGCGGTCTATACGCGGTACCGATAACGAGTTGCTTTCCGCCGCTAGAGGTCGAGATCCACATTTGTTCTACTAGCGGGGCCGGGGGGAGGGGGGGGGGCAGCTCGCGGACGCCGACGCCTCGCTTCACATAGAAGCCGACGCCGCCGCCGCGCGAGCGCACGTCGGGCGGACGCGGCGCGTGCCGCAGCCGGTAGCCGGGCACCGAGGCCGCGCGCCCCTCTTCGCCCTCCCGCAGCCACGTCTCATTGATGGCCATGATATCGACACTATGCCGTTGCATTGCTACAATAAATTCATCGTGCCGCGTTCCAAGGGACCCTGCATTTAAAAGACCAACTTTTACGTTATTTTTAGAAGCAATAAACGAATTTTAGATATACATATTTATTTGACATAATAGGCACTTAGTTTGCTTCTTGTACAGACAAAATTAATTTTATGTGATTTGATAGAATAAATAATATTTATGGGGATATCACAAATTTTTAAATAGTTATCCCTTGAGTAAATTTTCTTGTACCTTAATGTACTCGTATAGTAATTATTGTATGTATGTATTGCAGAATTCAAAGACAAAACGCTAGTGAGTCTTTTCAATATATTGATGTTAGAAATTTGTGCCAGAACTAACCCGGATATATTATTATTCCACATACGAGTATAGGCATAGTATATTTCATTTGACAAAAATAGAATCCGAAAATAGTTCTTAAATAAAAATACAAACACAATTAATGATTTCTTAAATTTACGCGAACACTACACATTGAATAAAACTATTATTTACGGATTTTATCGCGTTTAATTACTTTAATTTATTTTTATTATTATCCCGACGTTTCGGGTGCTTTACAGCGCCCATGGTCACGGGGGGGACTGAGATGTTTGACGTCCCAATGTCATAGTTAGTCCCAATGTCATAGGCTACATCTTGAAGCGAGCGTCCATTAAGACATACTACAAGCCGCTGAAGAAGATTAGTCAATTTTTACCATCCATCAAATGTAATATTCCTCTACAAGATGCAGGTGTGTACAAGCTAGATTGTGAATGTGGTCTCTCTTACATAGGTCAAACAAAGAGATCTATAAAAACCCGCGTGAAGGAACATATAGCTAATGTGAAGCACCGACGCTCCGGGAAGTCTGCAGTCTGCGAACATGTTCAAGATCGTACCCACCATTACATTAGATTTGATAAACCACAAATTCTCGCAAAAGAACACCGATCCCTACCAAGGATGATACGCGAGGCTATTGAAATTAAAAAAACATCCAAATTTCAATAGAGAAGATGGTTGGGTGCTACCATCTGCTTGGGATCCTATAATTAACAAAATTAAACCCAAACCCAAGCACACCACTGCAAGACTTCATGATACTATAAGCTCGTTTTGCGTAAATCGGACCAAAAATTAATATTAAAAAACTGAAGGTAGCCGGACTAACTATGACCAATGTCCCAATGGACGTCAAACATCTCAGTCCCCCCCGTGACCATGGGCGCTGTAAAGCACCCGAAACGTCGGGATAATAATAAAAATAAATTAAAGTAATTAAACGCGATAAAATCCGTAAATAATAGTTTTATTCAACAAACACAATTATTAACGACTTACATAAAAATGAGCAATAGCAGAACAAGCTATTATTTAAAAAAAATTCAGATAATTATAGCTTTTATATTTTTTTTTCCATGATTTCGATAGCCCC